ATCATTTCCAAAATGTAATTGCTTAATTTTTAATTTTCAGACTCATGATCAAAAAGTTTTTTCCCCCTCAAATTATTTAGATCCGTTATAACGTTTGGTCATTTTTAAAAAGACTATGATTTTTTTTGCAGAATAATTTTTATGTTTTCTGTAAAACATTTCTAATTACTTTTGAAACTCACATATATCAAATTACTATAATATATTTTTTTAAAAAAACTTCTAAAAGTAGCAATCCAAACAGGACCTATAAAGACAGCTTGAAAAGTTTCATCCGAAAGCAGTCTAAAGGAGCCTTTCTAATTTGAATGCTACTTGAACTTTAGTTTTAAACTTTACCAAATGTTAATGTGACAGGCTGAATTTTAAGGAGAAAGAGATTGCAGGTGGTCCCAGATGTTAACTCTGATTGGCAAAGAATAAGAGAAAAAGTTTAGTCAAATCGGGGGCATCTCTCTTAAGACGTATTTTATTATTTTTGTCCACATTAGCTTTTAAATTACTCAATTGGACACCTTAATGAAAAGATAAAGTACTTGTTACACATATTAAGAATTGATTTTTGAGACGGCTTAATTTGAATTAAAATAGTACTAGAATTTGAACTGTTTTGACCCTTGTCCAACTGAAAAATTGTCCGTTTGGATTGTTATTTTTAGCAGTTTTGGTAAAAAGAAAAATATATATTATCGTGATTTGATGTATACGAGATCAAAAAAATGATTAAAAAATATGTTCATGAATAACGTAACAAATTTTTTGGTAGAAAATCACAATCCAAACTATTCTCCAATGAGAACGGGTCAATTTCTTGAATTGACAACTACAGAATACAATGACCACCAATTTTTCGACACACAACACGATATGATACTTAAATGACAGGCAAGAAATATTAATAGTCTTAAGTTACCTATGAATGATAAAAAGAAATTACACCTTTTTTTGTGCATTTTCTCTTTGATTTGCCGTTACATTCTTTTTAAGCAACATGAGATGATTTATACATGAATGAATTGATTGAAAGACCCACATAAAGAGCAAGTAAAAACAAAGGGAGTGGAAAATCCCAAAAAACTTCATCTGGAATTGAAATAGCATACTGTGCCAGCTCGTGAGCTACACTATTATATTTCCTAGGAGTCCAAGAAGCTTTCCAGATTGAGAATTACTGAAGACCAGTAACAATTTATCATCAATTAGAACTCGAATGCTTGATTGATCACCTTCTTGACACTGGATGGAGTTAATGATCATTTGAGCATCACCTTCAATGATGATGCATTGCTTAAAGGTTAATGAACAGGCTTAATATTGCTTATTACCAGACACAGAGTCCAAACAGAAAAAAATTTGTGTGGTGAGACTAAAATTTCAAAAAGAAAAAACAAAACTTAGTTTGAAGCGGAATGATTGAGTAAAATCCAAATTAAATATGAAGGTAGCAAGTAAGATCAAGGCAATCCAAATAGAGAAAACCATTCCACACGCCCTTCGCAGAAGCATGTTATTTGTCCTCATGCGGCAGTGCAAATATCCATTTGTCGCCAAGAAAGCAAGATTGAAGAGGTTGGCAGCATTATTGGCGACTTTGATTGTCGATGGAAGTTACGAACACGCAGCCGGCCAAGAAAGAAAGAAAGAAGGGCCCGGCTCTTCGTTGGGATGGAAAAGGGTTAGGTAAAGGGTGCTCGTTCTCATTACTTTATTAACTACTAGCTTTTTTCAATGCAGGAAGCATTTTTGTGTTGTTATGAATAATATACTTTACCAACCATATCGATTTGGCAGCTCCTTGAGCAATTTATAAATCGTCCATCTTTGCCTTTTGGAATTTTCTAATGTTTGTCAGATCATACCTGAATTGATCCACGTTTTTTTTTAAAAAACATTCTCGAATATGATAATTTTTTTTTAATGTTTAGGGATATTCTGAGATCATTGCAATCCAATATAAATTTAAACTTGAGAAAGATCACAATAAAAAGCATATATTGTGAATTTGACGGGTTTCCCAGTGTTTGGTAACCGAGTTTTTTGGGTATTTGTCTAAAACTTTACTGTAGTCTGCTTTAGAAGTTTTTTTAAAAAATTTTGAAATGTATAAATGTTTGAATATTTTGAAATATATGATTTAAAAATTTTGAGAAATTTTTTGAGGTTACTGTAGCTAAAATTTTTAAAAAATTTATAATAAATAAACTTGACAAAAAACTCAAGTGCCAAACTAAAGCATTAGTGTGGCAGGTCAAGGTCGTGAAAGATTTACTAATGAAATACCCACATAAAAACCCATTTACGCCGCAATTTAGATAAAAGCGGAATTGTAATGTCGGAATCTGAAGTAGAAAGGGTATATTTTAGAAGGTAAACTAACGCCTCCAACAAATTCATTAATCTATCCAAACTCGTTTTAACGTCTTAGTGAATCAGAATGCAATGATTACTAAGTTGGATAGGGTCAAGGTTTTTGGGGTCTTTTTGTGTGTGTGTGAGTGTGTGGCTCCTATTCCATGATGAGGGTTGAATCAATCCGAATATGAATCATGGATTCATGGTTGGGAAAAGAGCCAACAGGAAATGGTTGAAGAAGTATTCAACCACCGAGTTTATTTTGTTAGGAAATTCAGCTACGGTAATCGGACCAGAACAACAGGGTTAATAGTTGGATATCATTGGTTGCATTAATCTGGTCGAATTCCACGCAGAATTTTCTGTGTCATTTTAATGGTGTTGTCATTGGAGACTTTTTGGGTTTCACATCCAACAAACTCTTCAGAGGAAAAAAAAATCAATAAATGAAAAAAATAATTGGAACTGACCATGAAGATTGTTGTACAAATAGCCATATGGTAATTATTGGGGGATTAATGGGGACTGAATCACATCTTAATCTAAGGAGGGAGGTTCAACTGGACCTACGGAGGACTAAATCACACCCATATGAATTTTTTAAAAAAATCACATATTGTGATAATTGACGGAAGGTCATATTTAAACTCTCGATCTCCCACCCCATCAAGCAGCGTTAATCCTTGAGGTGGCTTAAAACCAGAATGGAACACAAGTATTTAGTCATACTGGAAAGGTAAAGGCTGTCTTTCTTTATTTGTCACTTCTGAGCACAAACTTAAGCAGGCAAGGCACTAGTTGCTCTCTTCCCAAAATTAAACTTTTTCACTGCGGTAAAAGAGTTAAAAGGTCGGAGCTAGTACAACATTGAATTAGCAGAAATTGAGACACCACGTTTATGATTTGATGGCGGCTGCTAGTTGCCATCATCATCAACGTGTTCATAAGGCCGGTGGAATAAACGCGGAGGAGGCCAACATTGGCAAAATGAACGGTGGGATCCGCCATGGCATTTAATCCAAACTTAGGCGGTGGTACAGCGACCATACTTCTCTTCTCTTCTGTGGCACCAGGCCCACAAATGGAGATTTAATGCACTTACGGTCAAACACTTCATGTGGCTTTACTGTTGCAGTGGACTCGTCGACAGTTTTACGTTGCATGACTCGGCCCATCGTGCACGAGTTTCGGACTTGTCTGCCTGACCCAATCAATCAATTGTTGTATGGTTCCAGTTCAGTTTCCGTGTTTCACAAATCAATTGAAACATCGAAAAGGAAAAATTTGGCAAATTTGCCTGTAGACAATTGACAGCTTTTTGTCGTAACACCAATAATATTTGCTATTTTGAATGTTAGCAATGTTGGCAATTTTTTTTTTTTTTCAAATTGTTTTTTTTTTTTTTTGGTTTTGTTTCACATCTTTGGTTTCATCGCTAACCGTCTTTGGTTGGATTTAGTCATTTTGGGAGTGCATTTAGTCTTACAATAAGATCTTTCAATTGTAGTTATAATTGTTGGATCGTTACAATTAATATTTGTTGGAGAGAAGAGGGAATAAGGATAAAGATCGTGTTTTGAATCACTCAAGAAAATTGCATATGCAGATATTTCTCTTTCTAACCAAACAATCACTATTGTTCTATCTACATTGAGATATGACATCATCCAGTATCTTACTGCTACTGTTCTTCTTTTATGAAGTCTTTAATGTCTTGCTTGCTTGTTAAAACATGCTTAGAAGTAGATTATGGTGGATTAGTTTGATTATATCTATCTACCTATACATACAATAAAAAGATAAAAAGATGGTGCAAATACTGTAGTAGCCTATCTATCTTTGTGACAAGTGACACAGCTCCCTTTTGAGAAAATTGTGTTTTTACCTTTTTTTTCCCTATTTTTTGACAGCCGTATTGATGCCAACTTAATAATTTCCATCTGTTTTTACGTAAATTACATGGACTTGTCCTTGCTTTTAAGTCCAAAATATTAAATTTATTTGGTTTAGTAATGTGATACTTTAGGGAATTGTCTGTCCCACCAAATAGGCAATAGTTCTTGAATCCAAAATATCAAATAGAATCAAGAGAACTTGTTAGGAAGGCACCATAATACAAATTAAGTTTTAATGTTCATCCATAGTCATATTTGCAAAAAAAAAAAAAAAAATTCACAAAATAATGTGTTTACTTATTCACCTCTTTAGTTGTCATTATTTACACACATTAAAAAATCTCTTCTTATAAAATCAAACCTCTTTAGTTGTCAGCGTTGCATACTTGCATTGTTTTCTGATTTGATAAGTGAATATGTTAATAAGATCTTATTACTCAGGCAAACTGCTCTATTCCTTTGAGTAGCCAAAAGCCTCTTGTAAGTCCTAAATGGTACTTAGATACAAAAGTCTTTCCACCTGCACTTTGATTTGTTCTAAGAAGTATGAATATCATATCATATAGCCATTTGACAATAATTACTATTACTTTCCTGCGTCTCCGGAAAATAATTACTACTTTTGTTGCCTCTTCTTCACCTTAGTAACCAAATGCAGAGTTTTAACAGCAGTAATCTTCTTTTATCTCAACAAGCATCCTTTTTGGCATTATAACACAGAGACTATTTGAATACAGTGACTGCCCTTTATCTGAGATGAGAAAACATCTTTCTGGCATTTACCAAGTGACCACTACACCGGTCAGAAAATTTAAGAGAATTCTTCGACAAAATCCATCGAAGAAGCTTTGTTTCTGTTGCTTCAACTACCAAAAAATGCACTTCCTAGAATATGCCCGCAGCAGACTTAATTCAGTTCAGTATTCAGATATGAAAACAGAATGACAGACACAGCCGAAACAAATTGAATTATGTCTTAAAATATGTTTCGAATGCATAAGGATTTTATGTGAACTAAATCGATTTAGATAACTAAATAGGCTATTCGCAGAGCACCTTTATTCTTAATACTCACATTCACCTACAGAAAGCATCTGATAAGTAATAAATTTCATAATCTGCGGATGTGTGTCTCTTGACTGTTGTGTAAATCACCCATTCATCGCCCTTCAACCATTGAAACACTGACTTCGTTGATGGAATCATTGCATAAACTAATCCCTGACTGACAATTATCTGATTCCAGCAAGCTTTGGAATGTAAATGTAGGTTCTCTTGGTTGAGGAAGTTCTATTTCACTCTCAGAACTGCTTAGCATGAGAACTACATTAGCCATTGTAGGCCGATCTGTAGGATGGTCTTGAACACAAAGAAGCCCAACTCGAATGCATCTCATTACTTCTGATGGGGTGCAAGAATTAGTCAGTGATTCATCCAGCAACTCTGGAGCTTTGCACTCATTCCATAATTGCCATGCCTGAATGAACCATTTCCAATTGTTAAGAAACCATTTCGAGTAAGCAAGCTGTAGTTAGGCTTGTCATATTATTTATCTTGTAATCTCAATTCTTAGACATGACTGGACTTTTGTATGATCAAGCTAATTTTAAACAGTGAATGAGTTTGCACTTACATAACCAAGAAGGCTTATATGTTTTTCGTGATAACCAAACCCAGTATTCTTCTTGCTACTGACTATTTCCAGCAATAAGACTCCGAAGCTGTAAACATCAGATTTTTCTGAAAATACCCCTCCCATGGCATATTCTGGAGACATGTAGCCGCTGCAATTACATTGAAACATGAAATGTGTTACTAATATATGTCACACATCTGTAATTTAAGCACATTAATCCGTGTAATAGATATCAATTTTCTTTATGTTTCTTTCTTTTTGGTTGGTCATGAAATCAGGGCACACAGCCTTTAGGTGCTACAGAGAGATAATATTCATGCTATCCAAATCAGGGGCATTCTATGAGAGCTTTTTTCCCTTTTCGGGCTCTACGGTTACTTGCTGGAGGTGTAAGCTTTAATGTATACACGAAAAAGTTAACCAATTTGTTCATGAACATAACTAGAGCACCAACAAACAGGGGAATTTCGGGATTTATTAGCAGATAATCAGAATCTACTGAGGAAAAGCAAAGACTTACAAAGTTCCCACAACCCTGCGGGTGTTGGCTAGTTCTTGTGTGACTTGGAAAGTTCGTGCCAGGCCAAAGTCTGAGATTTTGGGGTTCATGTCATCATCCAAGAGAATGTTGCTGGCCTTTAAATCTCTGTGAATAATTCTTAAACAAGAATCTCGATGGAGGTATAGAAGCCCTCTGGCAATGCCCTGAATTATGTTGAAGCGTTTTTCCCAATTTAGCTCCAACCTCTTTGTTCGATCTGCACATTGTCCACGGTCCGCAGGCACAATTTAATTTATGAGTCCAAAAGGACAGTCCATAATATGTACCAAGTGATGTTCAACGATAAGAGAAGAATAAACGCTGCTCTTTTTGGCAAATTGGTTGCAGTTTAAAGCTACTCTTGTATGTTTCTAACTGGAGATAAATTACAGAACCAGAAATCTAGCTTCAATGTTATTTTTTAAGTTTGCACAAGGTTCTAGAGCTCAAGGGACATCTACATAATGCAAACACATGAATTCTCCAAACCTTAGAATATATTTGGGGAGATGGCAATGCAGATCATACTATTTTGAAATGAAATGAGAAGTGTTTGCTTTCACAAAACTTGCCAAAGACCCAAGAAAGCATCACAGGCGGGGTGAGTTGAGGATGGATTGAATTTTCAAGTGATTAAGTTATGGTATGGAAATTAAGGTAGCAGTAGCTGTATAATAATTTTGTGTGTACAAGAATATTGGATGAAACAATATTATGAAGCATAAAGTAGATCACTTTTATGTTAAAGGTTCGTGAATACAAAAACTTGTTTGATTTTTACATTATCAGCTTTGCTTTATACACTTGACTGACCATCGTACAGTTTGACCAGTTGGGCAAATTGAGTACCAACTTTGCAGCCCTTGATCCTCTGGCAGATGTATGCATTGGAATTTACATTAAACTCTATGGGCTGAAGTAAAAGATCAGCAAAAAAGAAAAGCCACTAATATTTCAGCAAAGAAATAGGAGAGCATTTACCAAAGAGGAATTTGTCCAAGCTCTTGTTTTTCAAGTATTCAAGAATTACTGTCTTTTCTTCTCCCTGAATGCAGCAGCCCAACAGCCTGACAAGGTTTCTATGCTGAAGCTTAGATATCAAGACAACCTCATTTTTGAACTCCTCCATGCCTTGTCCTGAATGACGCGAAAGCCTTTTCACGGCTATTTGCTGTCCATCTTCTAATCTCCCCTGCGTGGAATTCGGTTAAGAAATTTACTAATGAGTTTTCTCTGTGCCTTGAGCTAATCAAGTGTCCAGATACTTGTTTTGATGCTTGGAATGATATTTACCTTGTAAACTGCGCCGAACCCTCCTTCACCAAGCTTGTTAGCTTCACTGAAGTTGTCGGTGGCAATCTTTATCCTATTGAAATCGATCGCTGGAAGCTCCAATGACTCATTTGCCGATGCGGGACTTTCCTGGATATCATCTTGTGAGGTATCTCTCAAAGTGCCCTTTTTCTTCTCAGACACCACGAGATCCTTTAGCATGCACAATTTTCTGATGCCCTTTATTATGCACCATTTTCTCGTCCTCGCTCTGAAGATCGTTATAAGCATAACTGCCGATACCTCAAAAATAACTGCATACAAAATTATCAATCAGTTCCTTTTCTGAGTTGTAGACACTAGGAATGGTTAAATTTCTGGGGCAGCGCTGTTAAGTTTTTTTTTTTTTTTTTTCATTTCATAAATAAGAAAAAAACGAAATTTTTAATGATGATAAGCGTTTAAACAATAGGAATTAGCCCCTCTTTACATATATATGATAAAAAAGAGTACTTCAAGTCATATTTTTCTATTTGCAGTGTTAATACTCTTGTTAACCAAAAAAAAAAAAAAAAACCTCCCAATAAACTGTGAGCAATAGGCGAACATTAGTTACCTCTTCTGTTTGCTTCAAGAATTTGTGCACCCAATGAATGCTTGAGATCTCTTTGTTATTCTTCTTCTGCCTTTAGCCCTTTTTTGTCTGCTACAGCATGAGAAATGAAGACAAATGGTCAATATACATGGTAAATAAATGAAGTCGACTCTATTATTCAACTTTGCGCACTGCAAGGTGGCATAATTGGATATCATTTCCTTGCATAATTCTATTGTTATGTCAATAATCATGAGATCACTCAGTCCCTACCCAGATTATCTTGAGCACAAATATGCTATTAAGTATTGACTGGGGTGGTTCCATAAAAGATAATGCCTTGATCTCTGTTACTTCTCAGCTTAAGCATTTTTCAGAAAGGAACCTGCACCTGTCCTAGTTGTTCACTCTGTCAACCAAAATAAAGAGTTAGCAACGTGTACATCAGCTAGATCAGGCATTCAAATCGTTGAATAGAGAAATAAAATATCCATCTTATGATATGAAGAGTAAAGCAGAATAAAGAAAAGCCAAAACAGAGTGCGGATATGAATTACTGAACAATTTACATAATATGTAGCTTAATTAGTTGAGTCGTTGACCATTGGTTACTTGGTGTTTAAGCACGGCAAGTAACAGGCACCTTCAGCATTATTAAAGTTGGACTGGTGGAAGTACTTTACACTTGAACATCAGTCTTCAGCTTCATGAATTGAAGGTTGCTTGTAAATTGGAAGTGTTTCCTTCGTAGACAATAATCAAAAGAACTTCTGTAAGAGTTAGATTTTTTTGGATAAATTACTTATTACCCCGTGATTTTATATAATGCTAGATGATCCCCCTAAGGTTTTAAAATAGCCATATAACCCCTCTGTGACTATATACAAAGTGAAAAAATGGATGGAATGCATATGAGTTAAGGCATTTATATCAAACACGCTTTAAAAGTGCATATGATAAAATCTTAATATCCATATAACCTCCTTATGATTTGTATAAATATTCACTTTACCTCCTGTGAATTTTGCATTTGTCTACATAATCTCCCTATACTTTTATACAAGATGGTTAAACCATTGATTGATTTAGAATTTAAGTAAGGAAACTATTACTATTTCAACTAATGACATTACATAAGCTACTTTCTATCAAGTTTCCAAAAATTATTGGGGGTAAAGTGGATATTTTAAAATATTAGAGGGGTCATGTAGCAATAGATGAAACCACAGGAGGTTGTATGTAATTTACACTTTTTTTATCTCTGATCTGATGAGAGGAAATGGGAACTTTTACGTGCATGATTTCCATGCAATTTGCAAATTGTACACTGTGGATGCTAGTTGAAAATGGAGGTGCTTAAATTTGAATGTATTTTTGGCCAACCCTGAATTTTGTGAAGTAAATTGTTTATCCACCGAATGCCAATTTTCAGAGAGGAGAAGAGATCAGAGTGATTGTTAAATATTGAAAATTTTTGTTATTTGATAAATCAATCATCGTACCTGATGATGTGCGCTCCAAAAACATGAACGTTCAGTTTTCCCCTTACTTGGTGCTTTTGCATGCTGATGGGACATTTACGTGTCAAAACAGTGGAACTTCAGCTTTCACAAACGAGTTATATGACAAGTTGTTGAGGATGCCAAACCTTGCATTAGAGTGGAGGATTCCTTTAGATAAGATCTACTAATTTGTTTCCTTAATTTTTTATTTAAGGGCTACCCCGTGTATAAACTTCAGTTCTACATCAAAAATAAAATGATTCTTTTTCTTTACCCACAAAAAAAGAAAAAACCTCTGGGGCTAAATATACCAAAAAGGAGCTCAACAGGCTAAGTAAGTCCAAAAGCAATCTGAATCTTGCTTACGGAAAACATATGCTACGCACTAAAATTTGTAATCTCTCTAAGGTTACTGTTGTGTCTCCTGACTCTCGTCCTTGGTTCATCGTCCTTGAACCATTGAAATACTGATTTCGTTTATGGAACCGTTGCATAAGCGAATGGCTGATTGAAAACGATCGGATTCTTGCAAGTTTTGAAACGTAAATGTAGGTTGTCTTGGTTGAGGAAGTTCCATTTCACTCTCAGAACTGCTTAGCATGAGAACTACATTTGACATTGTAGGCCGATCTGCAGCATGGTCTTGAACACAAAGAAGCCCGATTTGAATGCATCTCTTTACCTCTGTTGGGGTGCAAGAATCTGCCAGTGATTGATCCAGCAACTCTGGAGCTTTGCACTCGTTCCACAATTGCCATGCCTGAAAGAACCATTAATTTCCAAATGTTAAGAAACCGTTTTTGACGGCTTGTCTTTCTTGTTAAACGTAATGAACTCTCATCTGATCTTGCTATAAGTAAACATGTAAGCAATATGCACTTACACAACCAAGAAGGTTCAAATATTTTTCGTGATATCCGAACCCTGTGTTCTTCTTGCTGCTGACAATCTCTAGCAGCAAAACTCCAAAGCTATAAACATCAGATTTTTCCGAAAATTGCCCACTCATGGCATATTCAGGAGACATATAACCGCTGCAATTAAAAAGAACATGAAAAGATTAGCAACATTTCACATCTATATTTAAGCACATTATTATCTTTAAGTTTATTTCTATTTTAACATGGCAGATAGGCTTTAGACGCTAAACGACGATATATCTGCAGTCCTGCTCTATGAATCAAGGGCATTCTTGTGTCCTTAATGAATCGAATGACAACTAATGAACTTCAAACTACGTTTTTTGTCATCGTATCAAAAATTGTTTTGCCTGAATAATTTAAGTGAAGAAAAGGACATTCTTTTGTTGAGTTAAATGATTGCACGTATTTTTCATTCATGAAACCTTCAAGTTGTTCTTTGCTAAAATCTCAAGAAACCAGCAGATACACGCACGTTTATCATCAAAAAAAGCTAAACACTAGTACTTTTATTAAAACAGCTAAAATAACTTTGCTCATTGAACTCAATTTGTAGTTTGATGCTTTCACAATCAATTCAACAGTGCCAAATGGGCTAGGTGATTAATTTAGAATAATTTTCTCAAATTGGATGATAAAATTGAGAATTTTTTTTTTCAGTTTGAATGGCAAAATTAAGATTTTTAATACCAAAACAAGACTTCCTCAATTTCAGAGACCAAACTGATATGCTTTGCTCATGTCAAGACCAAATTGAATAATTTTCAGCTCAAGAGACTAGATTGAAAATTTGCACCAATGTACTAAGACGAAACTAATCCAGAAAACAAAGCCGCTAACCACGAAATGGGGCAGGTACAATTGATCTTAGGTGCAATTGGGGCGATTGTATTTTTTTCATGATTTAGTGTACACTCTATGACTTTGTAACTTTTTTATATTTCATGATTTGACATACACTCGCATAACTTTTGTTGTACATCATGAAATACAACAAAGTTATGCGATTGCATGGTAAATCATAAAAAGGAGTATAATAATCGTACTAATTGTAGCTATGGCTAGCCGCCCAAACCCTCCCCAGCCCTGTGCAGACAAAAGCACCAAAGAGCACTAGCACTGGGCAATCGTGGGCATGAATTAGCAGAATCTCCTGACTAGAGGCAAAAAGAAGACTTACAAAGTTCCCACAACCCTGCCAGTGTTGGCTAATTCCTGTGTGACACGGAAAGTTCGCGCCAGTCCAAAGTCTGAGATTTTCGGATTCATGTCATCGTCCAAGAGAATGTTGCTGGCCTTCATATCTCTGTGAATAATTCTCAAACAAGAATCTCGATGGAGATAGAGAAGCCCTCTGGCAATCCCCTGAATGATGCTGAAGCGTTTGGCCCAATCTAGCTCCAGCCTTTTTGTTCGATCTGCCCATTTATCCAAGACACAAATTCAATATACGAGAGAAAAAGGCAAAGTCCATATTACATGTTCCAAGTGACATTCAATGTACGCAGACGAATACACACAATGCTCTATATACTAGTATGAATGATAAATATGATTTTGCATATGGACTTCCATGAAAGATAATTATGAAACAAAATATTGCATGAAAGATAATTATGAAAAACTGTATGATTTTGTCTGTGGATAAATGTTGGAAGAAATATAATTATAGCTCTGATTTTGGTTTTCTGATCATGCATAAACTTGTTTAAAGTATGTACAGTCAGAGGTATTTTATAAGCTCGACCGACCATTGTGCACTTTGATTAGTCGCAAAAGTTCGATCCCAACTAGCGATAGTCATTGCAAAACAGTACATTAGAACTTACGAAAAACTCCTGGCCTGAAGCAAAAAATTTTGAAGAAAAAAAGAAAAGAAAATTAATTATAGCTCAGTAAAGTAAAGGAACAATATTTACCGAACAGGAAAGTGTCCAAGCTTTTGTTTTTCATGTACTCAAGAATTACTATTTTCTCTTCTCCTTGAATGCAGCAGCCCAACAGCCTTACAAGATTTCTATGCTGAAGTTTAGATATCAATATAACTTCATTCTTGAACTCCTCCATGCCCTGTCCTGAGTGACTCGAAAGCCTTTTCACAGCTATTTGCTGTCCATCTTCTAAGCTTCCCTACGTGAAATTCACAAATTATTCAACAATGTCACCCAGGCCTTAAGCTAATATAATGTTTGCAGGTACCTGTTTAGATGCTTGGAATGATAATTACCTTGTAAACTGTGCCAAATCCTCCTTCACCAAGCTTGTTAGCTTCGCTGAAGTTGTTGGTAGCGATCTTTATCCTATTGAAATCAACTATTGGAAGCTCTGATGACCCCTTTGATGATGCAGGATTTTCTTGGATATTGTCCTGTGAAGTATCAATCAAAGTGCCCTTTTTGTCAGCCAAGTGACCCTTTACTTTGCCCCTTTTTCTGATGCTCTTTATTGTGAACCATTTTCTTGTCTCTGACCTTTGTTCCCTGAGATGTCTGTCTGTGATTGTATGCATAAGAATATCAGTGATGATTAACCTTTTCGGAGATGTAAATATAAGTTGGCTTGAAATTAGCAATGGAGTAGTTAGAATTCTGGGAAAAACGAAGGTAAGCGTAAGTATCTTTCATACTGATTTGCAGCTAAATGATCAAATATAATACGTAGTTTGAATCATATTCAGTGTGTTAATATCTCTACACGCTAAGAGTAGTTGATAAACATGTTTACCTCTTCTGTTAGCTTTCCATCTGCGGACACAACATATTAACACACCCAAGAGGAAACCAACCGATATGGATACGAAGCTGACGCTGATTGCTGTATGTCTACTTTTTACTCCTGAAAATTACATTAAACAAATTGTTGAAGAACATAATTCTATATTATGTAGTACCAGTCCAGACTAGATCTAAGTTACCTAGGTCTGAATTAGCAAGGCGGAGGTATAGATCCTCCCCAGACTTCACGAATTGCTGCATGTCGATAAGATCTGTTACCCAAACCAGACACCCTATACCATCTGGATATGCATATGCCAGACAAGAGCAGTTGCTCAGGCACCATTGGCTACACCCCCCTTGGTCAGTCTTATCATACAAATACACATAATGATCTGGTCATTTCATCTGACCGACCTTCCAGAAGCCATCCGGTTTAGATGCATTGAAGCTTAAGTTGCTTCTGTTTTCATTGCACATCAACTCTGTACGCCTTACACATCCACTTGTCCAATTTCCTTTACTCCATTCCTCATTTGACCTAGGCAAGAACCCTTTCAGGCACTCACAAGTTGAAGCATGGTTCCTGCTACAAACACTGAAGGGTCCACAAGTTCCGTATGCATCACATGGACCCTGAGGTGCTGCAAATATAAAGTTCCATTTATTTTGCTCTCTTTCCTTGTACCATACCTCTACCATACCTGTCGTTGAAATTACACCAATTGAAACATCAGAATTGTCAAAGTTGTTGAAAGTCATGGATGCAGCTCCCATATGATTATTTGGTGTCACAAATAGTCCATTTGAATACCCCTCGGCGAAGTCTTGTATACCAGTGAACTTCCATCCATCCCATGGACCTGATCTCCAGTGTGGTTTTGTACCATTCCATGCCACAGACTGTGCTGGTCTTTCGTCTGTGAGTCCATAAACAAAGTTTCCAGGTGCCGGATCATTCTCATTTTTCCAGGCTGTCAAGAAGCTTTCCCGTCCAGTTCTGCTGTTGAATCCTATCTGCATGCCTGCTAAAATTGTATCAGTAGGATAATAAAAACTTTCCCATATAGTTTCCCCTGAAACATTATCTTTAAGGTTGAAATCCCCGTCATCTTGGAGCACTGCTATTGTGCTATTAGACTGGACAGGGGCATTTGCTGACCAGACAGTAGTTTGCTTTCCATCTATAAGCATTAGATTCCCATGGCTGCTGATTATCAGCTTTGAAGCCAAGTCACCTTCTAACGGTGCATTTTCCCGATTTGCGACCCAAACAACTCTATGATCAATATCATTCTTGTACCAGATTCCAATGTACAATCTACTTGAATTACCAGGACTGAAGAATCCTAATTCAAAGATTTGTCCAGCTGAAATTAGAGCTTGTCCTGCGTTGAGTGGTTGGGATGGAGTTAGGGTGTCATTTGATGCAAAGCATGTTGGTAAAAAGAAGTGGATGTTAAAAATCGCAAGCAATGATAAGCTAGCTATATCCCCGTACTTGTCCATATACTATGCTATTAGTCTCTGTAGTGGTCGTTGAGCCCAAAAGAGCCTCAAGAATTTGTTCACCAAACAAAGTCTTGAGATCGCTTTTGCCTTCTTCTGCCTTTAACCCTTCTTTGTAGTACACCATAAGCAAATGTCATCGGTCAATATGCTTGCTCATCAACAAATTAACTTGACTGAGTTTTTGTTCAACTTTGCACCTTAGCAAGGTGGCTTAGTCAGATACCATTTTCTAGCCTAATCTTTTCTTATGTCATGAATCATGAGGTCACTCAATCCCTCCCCAGAAAATGTTTACAAAAATCTTTAATTAACTGCTGTGGATCCCTAAAAATAATGCTTTATGTCAACCAAAATAAACAGTTGTCACACTTGTAGAAAGGCTAGAGTATGGTATCAAATCAGTGGATTAAGCTAAACTTTATTTCCTACACTAATTTTGATATCAATTCTAATCTAGTTACCAACTAACTAATCATCTTTTACAACTACTAAAAGTTTAAGCAGCTTAGTTCAATTTTTTTGTCAACAGTTCTGACGATAGGAGGAGTGGAAAAAAAAATAAAAAAGAACTGCAAAGAAGAGAAGGTGAAGTAAATTTTGGGACCATTTACGAGCAGTATACTTTTAAGTTGACCGTTAACACTTGGTGTCTTCAGTTTCGCAAAGGGGATGTTTCCTATGGCATTATTAGGTTGGATGAAAAGTTGAAGATTGATTGTATATTAGAAATGTTTCATCCATAAATTACAGCCAGAGAACTACGTTCGGAAGACTAGTCATACTTATGGATCTCCAATCGCAGAAAACGGGTTCCAGAACTCCAGTCATGACTCATTAATTTAACGTGGGGTAAATTACATATAACCCCCAATGATTTCATCTATTGCCACATAATCCCTTTAATGTTTTAAAATATCCACTTCATCCCTTTATAGTTTTATGTCAAGTAGAAACTTGATGAAAAATATCCTATGTAACGGCGCTAATTGAAATATCAACAATGTTCTTACTTAAATGCTAAATCAATCAGTGGCTTGACCACATTGTATAAAAGAATAAGAAGATTACGTGGATAAATACAAAAATTACATGGGCATAAAGTGGATATTTATACAAATCATAAGGGGGTTACATAGATATTAAGATTTTATCACGCGTGTTTTTAAAGCATATTTGGTATAAACTCTGTGACTGATTGTGAATTTTATCCATTTTCCACTTTACACAAAACCACATGAGAGTTATGTGACTATTTTAAAAGTTTGGGGGGGGGAGTGATTTGGCATTATATAAAATCACAAGGGGGTAATAAATAATTTATCCTTTAATGTGGAATTTACAGATGCATCCTTAATTATATTAAAGTGGAGGCCTTCACGTGGCAAAGCCATACTGCAAGTTAACTTTCTGTGCTAGCAGATTTATAGTTTAATGCTTATCATGCGATTAAAGACTTCAAAAGTTATAGTTTAATGTTATGCGGTTGATCAATAAAAGTTCTCCTTTGTTCAAAAGAAAAAAGAAAAAAAAAAGACTTCAAAAGTTATATTAACTCCTCAAATGGAAGCCTTGTAACCCCCAGTTCTACAATTAAAAGGAAAAACAAGACATAAAACTCAAACTGTGAGTTGCCCGGCGGAGATTAGAGTTTGTCCTATCTTGAGTGGTTGGGATGGAGAACATGCTGGTAAAATGAATAAGATGTTAAAATGCACAAGCAATAGTAAGCTAGCAATAGCCCTCTACATTCTTTTATATTGTGCTCTCTATGCTCTTTACTGTCCCTTGAGGCCAAGGAGAAAATTCTTAATTTGTGATGAAAAACAAAAGTTATACTACAAAGGGGGTGATTAGTGAAGCAGCTTCCACAAATGTGATCTTCGCATTTGTGAAATGCGAGTTCAGGTACCTCGCATTTCACAAATGCGAGGTAGGTGCTTTTAAAAAAAAAGAAAAACAAGCTACGGTTCTTCAGTTGCGAGCTCAAGAGCTCGCATTTACAAAATGCGAGCTTGTTTCCTCGCATTTCAGAAATGCGAAGTACTCAAGCTTTTTTGACCGAAAATTGGATTCTGACCGCAATTGTCTAAACTCAAGCTTCAGCCGGTTCCAGCCTCCAAGACACGCTTCGGTTTCCCGCTTCAGCTCAATTTCGAATCTAATTTCTCAGCTGCTACCCATCAATTCATCACAGCTGGGTTCTGGTTGTCCCTTTGTCCGTCTATTTTCGTTTCATCTTCGCCGCTTCACCACACTGTTCGCCGCCGCTGCATTTCTAAGCTGCTACCCAGCTCAGATTATACCAGGTTTGTTTATCCTTGTTCCCTTTTTTTGTTTAAGTTATGTCGTTGTTGATTATTGGTTTTTGGTTGCCCTTCCGTCCCCTCGGCCCTCTGTATAATGAATATGTACTGCTGTAATTTTTAAGCGTATGATCCGAGCTCGAATCTATAAAACCCAGAAGGATCCGACCTCGGATCGTTTGAAACGCCAAAAATTAAAACAGGGGATCCGAGCTCGGATCCTACAAGTTCCTGTTGTATCCGAGACCTCGGATAAACTTCTGTTATAGTTGATCCGAGCCATGTCGGATCCGAGGACTTTATGATCAGATACGACCTCGGATCTATTTAGGTGTTGGTACTAAACAGCTAAATTCCAGTACTTCACTGCTAAATTGCACCAAAGGCCTAAGTAAAAGCCTTTTTCTTTTGGTATTATCTGAAAACTGGAGTATAGTAAAAAAAAAAAAGCCCTCGGTCTTGAAGTTCGACAGCCTATCTAATGGTCCCTTCTGTCACTTAATTCAGTAATTGAACCATGCCATTGTGGAGTTGTATTATAATCTGATATTGAAGCATGTAGAAAGTTTCCCTTGCTTCAAGTACTTTTATTTGGTTCATTGGGACGATATTTTGACACGATTGGTTACTTGGTGAAGTGAAGTGAGAATTTGACAGAATCTTCCAAAACATGTTTTTCAGTTGTTGAACATATCTTCTTGTTTGTCTTGCTAGGTTAGTATAACAGGGTAACATAGATATAATAAGCATGACTCGTTCAATAATAATCTCCCTTGTCGGAATAATAATAAATGCTTGAACACCTCCTTTGTCGGAATGGGACACCAAAGTAACCCCCTTGCGTGGACATTTTTTTATTTTCTATAAGTATGTTTTCTATACCTATGTTATCTAGTTTACCAAGGGTTAAATTCTTTGAATTTAGGTGAATAGATCCAAAAAGGTATATCGGAACAAGCAAGATCTACGGGAACGAGGTGGTTCATTTGAACAAATCCCTCATTGCACCCCAGATCCTCTGCTCCAGTACCTTATCTTGGGTCTGTGTGAACTCCATCATATTCATATAGGTGCACATCGAGTTTTCGACACAAGCCAGGAGACTTGAAGAGGCTTTGATTGGTACCACTAGGAAGTTGTCTGCACAGGTGCATCTTCAGAATCTTCGGCATATCATTGGGTAAGTCATGTAGTTTTCAAGTAGATTTAATTGTAGACTTGCACATGTTCTAATTTATAAAGCTTTGCTTGGATCCGTTTTATTTTGAATTCATGAATGTAATGTGGGTCCTTGTAGTATAGTATATTTTTTAATTGCATGTTATGGTGGTTGACAGTGGAGCATACGAAATTATTGTTGTTTCACATTCTACTGTGTACATTATATTATTATTGCAGGCTTAAGGAAAATTCGCAGTTGGTTGTCTTCTATAAGATGCTTATTGTATGTCAAATTATGCTACCGTATTTGTAGTGCTGTAAATTATCTCATATTTGATGTCTTGTTTGAAAATCGATGTGCCTATGTTGGTTGGCAGGGAGTTTTCGCCCAGTTACAGGGGAGACTCTGTCAAAAATTTTTTAAAATCTTTTTGGGTGTTTTGGTTAGTGATTGCCTTAAGAGTATAATAAGACAAATTGGCGGCAATATGGACTCAAAAGGGGGGGTGCTTCTTTCCGTTAAATAAAACAAGACATCCTCGGAGATATTACCTACTATTCAATTTAATTAGGAGTTGTTGAATAACTTTTTGGCATTTGGATGATGATGATGTATAGGCGGTTAGAGGGAACATTAACTTAAAATGTTGACTAAAAATTTGTATACAAGACAAACTGGAATCACATTTGCTTGTACTACTACAAATGTGAGTTCTCCTTTGCTTGTACTACTACTTGTACCTTAAACACACATTTGCTTGATTAAGATGAGTTCTCCTTTGTATCACACTTGAAACAGTAACAATGGATAGGGATTGTTATATGATGTATACTCTTCTACCGCATGAGCTAACTTATTTTATTCCAAAATAGGGATTCTTTCCACACGTATGTCTATAGAAAGACCTCTGCACGTGTCTCTTTATTGGGGAGGTAAAATACACTACGAGGATGGGTCAATTTGTTACTTGCCTCGTATTTGCAACCGTACATTCTCATTACGATGCAGGATTGGATATGATGATTTGGTGGATAGAATCTATGAATATATGGGGGTCGATAGGGGGCTGTTTAGGTTGAATATATTTCTCCGCCAACCTTGTGGCCGGAGCTCTTATAACGTGTCCCCAGTGGTTGATGATGAAACTCTTGCGATAATGTACGATGTATGGAATGAAATTGTTCCATACACCGCAGAACTGTATATCGAGAAGGATGAAAAATTTCAAAATCCTCGAGTCACCGGGACATTCATTTCACCAAATACTAATTTAGGTCCGATGATGTCGCTTGTCCATGCATGCATGGATCCGACAAGATTTCAACCAAGCTCTAGTACAGCAGTACCTGAGACGGCATCGGTATCACAATGGGCACATGGAGATTGTGGTAGGAATTCGTTAGAGCCACGTCTTACATCAGGCTTAAGGACGCAAGTTGAATCTGTTCAGGGCCTAGACTCGATTCAAAGTTTTAGAGATCCAGAATCGCCGGATCATCTTGGTAGTTATGGCTTGGATTTCACTGCCGGTC